ATTGTTGGGGCGGGAGCTATCTTGAAAAATTCGTAAGGAGGGGTGTTCGTAACTAGAGGTACCACTGTACTAGAGGAACAAAACAAAACCCCCACCCCCACCAACGCTGGCAGGGCATGCAAGTGTATATAAACAGAAAGCAAACCCCAACCCATTCCAGCACTGAAGATGTTACCCAGCCGGGTAATGAAACATTTGCAGGAAAAGAACCAAGCTCAGAGAACCCCAAGGACTCCACAGTAATTTCTCTCTCTCTTTTTCTCTCTCTCATTCCTGGAAGAAGGCAGTGGCAACCTACTTTTGTACTGTTGCCAAGAAAACTGTGTGGGTGTTTTATTGTCTCATTAACTGCCATCAATACTATATCTGAGATTGCCAGCAAATCACTGCTTCAAAACTCACACACTCAGCACAAGGTAAGAAAATGAGTAAAAACAACAATTTTTGCCACTCTGGCTATGATCTTTAGAAATTGTTACTTGGAGAACACAAGAGTGAAAAGCTAATATCCTATCCACCCACTTTTGTCACTGCATTTTTAGTTGTTTTATTCTGTCACACTCTTTATACTGCCAGCTATTTGTCAGTGGTTTTACAATAAACAATAGCTGTCTTGGCCATTAAAGATTAAGACTGGCCCCATAAAGATTCCCTGTCCTGAAATCCTTTGAGACAAAAAGGAGAACAAAAGAATCATAAAGAGATAATTCCTCACTGCTTGGTGGCCCATACAAAAAAGTGCTGCAGTTGCACTCCTAGAAATTATTTCATCAGAGTAATGTTTTTAAAGCCCCCACCCGCACTTTTTAGCTAATAAGCTTGTCCTAGCAGCTTGCCTATGAGCAATAACAGCATAAAACAGTAAGATGGGAGTAGGGAAAGGAAATCCAAGAAATTATGATAACAGCTCCCTTGGTCTTCTTCCTCCCCTCATAATAGCCTCTATGAAAGGAGGAAAGACCCAGCTACAGCTGAAGCAGCAATGCTGGTTTGTTTCCTCTCTTGTTTCATTGGTTCTTTTGGTTCCCATTACCTCTGTGAGGAGAGGAGAGGCCCAGTTCCACCAGGTGGATTTCCTGCACTTTTTGTTACACCAGAATAATGGTACCATATAGGACACCATAGTGCATAGTGACATAGCGTTTGTTCCTGCATAATATGGGCTCTTGGCCACGAGACCTTAAAAGTTACATCAGAAGCAGCCTTGAGAAGTAAGTAACATTCTAATGTCAAAACAGTTGGCATTTATCAGGAGAGTTACAGCAGCTTCCGTGAAACATGGTGAGCCCATGGACTTAAGTTTTCTGAAAGGTAATCCATACTCTGAAAAAACTGCCAAGTCTCTTGACATCTAACCTTGGACCAAGAATGCTTTTCAAGAATGCATTTTTCTTTAAAGGTGCATAGGACTTTCTCTTTTCCAAGTACGTGGAAAGTATATGAATTAACAAATACATTACAAACAGAATTGTAATATCTTAGCTGTCAATTTATTTGACTTTTCTGCTGAGTAAGTGAATTCTGAATAAACACAAAGAGCGGCATGCTATAGACATATAAATATTCATTTTCAAAATATCCTTGCACACCACTGACTAATTAGAAGGCTCAACTGAAACAGCATTTTGTACCTGTGTCAAAGTTGATTCTTTATTTGTTGCTTTATTACACTGAATAGCTTTGCATGTTCCCCAGTTTTTAACTCCATAGTAATTTTCTCTTATCCCTAGAGAAAAAGGTAAAAAAATAAAAGGTTACTTGTAATCAGATGAAAAAACAGTAAAATAAAGTTCATTTATATACATCAGAGATCACTATTAGAGATGACAGGGCCTGAGACAATATGGTATCTCTTTGTTTATTTATAAAATAATTAAAAGAAAAGCAAATGCTGTGCTTTCTATCCATGTAGTCTGAAGCCAAACTTCGGGTCTGGGAGTTACCAGAGCACGGGCATCCATATGGAAGGGTCAACATTTGCAGTATGGTGGACATGGCATTGCAACCAAAGCCCCACTCCTCTTGAATATGTGTGTGACTTGCTGCATGTACAAAAAGGCTGGGGCCTCTCCCCAGAGCACTGCTGAAGTAGGAGCCTGCCAACAAAAGCCTTGTTTCTTACTAGGAAGGAGATAACTTTTACCTTCACCCAAGCTAGGAAAGGAGATGCTTGTTAACTCATTGGGCAGTTTAAATAAAGGTATAGTATTATACCAATGACTAACAGTCTAAAGCAGACACATGCCCTGGCTTTCACGGGAGATGAAAAAGCAGAGGATCTTTCTGCCCTGACCCCTCCTCTTCCCCCTTTTTCATTCTACAGATAATGTGTTACATTCTCTTACTCTTAATTCAGCAACATGGGGTTTTGTAGCATCTTGTCAGCCCTTTGAGGTGGACCAAGCTAGGAAACCAAAGTTATGAATGCTAATAGTACTTTTATAAGGTTACAGTAATAGAATCTTGAAAGTCTGAACGTGCTTCCCTCTTCATTCCCTTTATCTTCATGAGAACTAGAGAGGGTCCAGTCTGAGATGTTTTATTAAATTACATTTCTGCCTCAGACTCAAATTTCTTTTATCTGACCGTTGTCTTGGTTGTGGTTCTTCCTCCTGTTCCTGAAGGTTATTCCTACTGCCCATTACACAACTTGTAAAGTGAGGATTTGTCCTCCTTCGACTTTATAGTCTCTTACTCAAGTTTCTTTTTCACCCGTTCCATGCTGGTTTTTATTGTTTGTTTTAGGGCTCGAGAGGGGCAGGGGGATTTTCTGTACCAACTGAGTTGTCACTGATAAACAGTGGACTGCACTGGGATTATTGGGTTATTGGTCTTCATTAACAGGCTAGACAACCACTGGTCCACATGAAGCTCTTCAGCACCCAAGATTCTACTACCAAAATTCAGTTGTAACATGGCTGAATTTTAGCAAAGTAGTTCTGATTCATTTTTTATGATTTTGTATGATTTTACTGGTACAAATGGGAGCAGTTTAACTCTGGGAATCCTTCCACTCATATCCCTATCCTTAAAACCTGCTAAAAAATTAAGTGAAAAAAATCAGCAACACCCATTCCATGAAAGCATTACCAGATGGCCTCCTGCAGCCTTTTGGAAGATCAGGATGCTAAGTTGCGGTTTCCAAATCCTAAATGTTACCCGCCCCTGATATTAAAGTCAAAAGTGGCAACCACCTCACCATGTCAACAGGCATAATAAACTACATCTTTCCTTAATATTCTACTCTAATAACAGGTAGCTTCATCATTAGACAACTATTTCTGTCTTTAGAAGTTGTGAAGGGCAGTAATTGCCTAATTATTTCATTCATTATCATTGTATTTATGCCCCCAGGAAGATATATATTTTGGGTGTTTAGGGATTTCAGCCTGAGATACAAAAATAAATTTGTTGAAATTATCTACATGCACCTTGCCTGAGGTGTGTGTGTGTTCGTGTTCTAGGTCTATCCTATCTATATTCACCTGGAAAGTTGATAAATGTGAATTTAAGACAACCCCTGCCTCTGCAAAGGAAGAGAGGACTGAAAAAAATGGATATTTCCTTCTCCCCAATAAATGTTTGTGCACATGTGAGTGTATGTGTGTATACCTATATCTATATATGTGTGGGTGGGTGCGTGTCTCCCTGTGGTTATGTACATGTGCACATATATCTGCCAGAAGCTACAGTCCAGAAAGGACAGGGCTAGACCAAAAAAAAAAAGTAACTGCTTACTAAAATTTATTACTTGTAGAAAAAGGCACTCCATTTACAACATTCATTGATGCCTGTATATAAATACAGCCACTCTATCTCAAACAGAAACCACTCCCTCTCACCACAACATATATACATTTTCTATCCTTACAGCAGAAAAGAAAAAAAAATGCAGGGGCAGGGGTGGGAAATAAGAGATGGGGGAAGCTGAGCTGCTCAGGGAAGGGAAGGAAAGGAAAGGAAAGGAAAGGAAAGGAAAGGAAAGGAAAGGAAAG